AATAAGATTTGTATTTGAGTAACCATTCAACTTTTAAATCAAGTGTCGAAACTTCAAGCATAAATAATACAATGCTACCGCTTTTTTGTATCATATTGAATGAAGAGATTTTGATATGGTGGTAAAATTTACTGATTGATCAAAGAATGACGATTGTAAGTTCTTCCATTCTCGAAATATCGACACTCGAAGTTTTAAGACCAATCGCGGAAATCAAGAGAACTATTTATAAATAGAAAAAATGATCTAATGGATGGTTTGTACAAACAATTTTTGTCGTTTGATTTCAAGTTTCATCTCTCTAAAACTAACGATCACAGAGAAAGGTCGGTTTAATTGAAAATCGAACTTATCCCTTTTACAGAAAATGCAAAGTTTTATTTCTCAGTCTAAGTGCATTTTCTGGTTGCCAATCAGCAATTACATCAAGAGAATGAGTTTCGTGAAAAAATTAGCTTTAACAAGCGCACAAAAAGCGATCAAAGTTTCAACTTCGAACGCGATTTTCTCAAACACTGTTCATCTGAGAAAATTTTGAAACACTCATATGCGTTCAGTTTTCATGTCACTACAAGATAACAGTGTTTAAACTTCGAAGAAATGTATAATTTAATGATGAGATTGAGATTTAATTCAAAGCCTCACTTGTTTGTTTATTTCAAGCTTGCAAGTTGCAATCTATTCATTTAAAGTGAAATGTAAACAATACTGTTCAATCTTTGCAGTTGTTTAGCTTCTAACAAATAATGTGGACATTCAATTCCATGTACAAGCTATTCGATTGTTGATCGACAATCATAATAATAAAAGCTAATGACTTTTGAAAGAATCCTGATTGTAGGTCCTTCCTTTCTCGAAATATTGATATTCAAAGTTTTAAGGCCAAAAGCCAAAATCAAGAGAACGGCCCATAAATTGAAAGAAAAGATCAATACATAATATGTAATGACAATTTTCATCAAAGAATATGAAGTTTCATATCTCTTATTCTAATGGTGATAGAAAGAGGTCGATTCTACCAAAGATCGAACTTATCAGTTTATCAGAAAATGTCAAGTTTCATTTCACAGTCTAAGTGCATTTTCTAGTTAACCATTGAAAATAACATCAGGAAAATGAGTTTCACGGAAAAAGCTGCTTCCATAATTGAGCAAAAAGTGATCGAAGTTTAAACTTCGAACTCGATTTTCTTGAAAACTGTCGATCGGAGACATTTTTTGGTAGCATGAATGGACTCAATTTTTACGTTCTTACAAATGAACAGAGTCTAAATCTCAAGAAATTAGACTTTACCCACTTTTATGTCGATTTGTGCATAAATGTTACAATCATGTTAACTTTGTCTAACAAGAAAGCTAAAGAGTTACAACAACAAACATTGCGTTTGGTTAGTTTCTTGTTGATTCCTAATCAAAAGACATCTTGACCATCGACCTGCAAATTTAAATCAGAAAAACATCTCAGAACCTCCAGATTATCTTCAAAAATCGAATCGCTCGGAATTAAACATTTGAATCAAATTAAATTTAAACCAAAATCTATTTAATATTGAAATGTAATTGCAAATTGTACAATCGTTTTGACCATCATTCCATTTCATTATCATTTATAACCTAATAACAGGATACCAAAGAAATCTAATTCCTTTAATAATCAATATTCTTCAAACCATTTGCTAAACTATTCCGCTAATTGAAAATTAAGAGACCTCAAATGCAATTGCTATCAGTGGATGTTATTTTGCTATAAGACTTTTGCATTTTCAATGATCGACAAAGAATACAATAAAATTTAGAAAATCGAGGTTACTGAATCTGGAACTAATTTTGAAATAAGCGAAATTAAAAAATGTTCATAAATTAAGTTATTAGCTTTTATTGCGTGCATTTAAGATTGAAGTTTATTGAATCAGTCACTCAGATACATTGGGAAATAAATTTTATTTATGAAATAGGGTTGAGGTGATGAATTACATTTTGATATAGACATGAAGGACATTTCAAGTGAGTATCGTACATACTAACTATTCGAGTTTTTTTGCATTTACAGTTTGAATTAAGATGTTCAAAACCTGAACAAGAATATTGAATACATTGAGTACATTGAATGTCTTGAGTTTGATATGTTTGATCGAATGCTTGGTCGATTTTTGAGCCTAACCTATGATTTTTCGTTCAATAGTAACTCCTGTTTAGGATTTTCAACATATTTCTAACTTGGGGTTATCCCTCAGATCAAGCTCAATGAGCATAAAATTTATATTATGATTTTAATTGGTCATGAATCAGTGTAATGAGATAGAATTAGACTTTTGAAGATATATCGTATGTTTTTTTGTCTTTTGATCTAGATTTTTCTTCTTTTTCATCTGAGGTTTCTTTGGTTTGAATTGTTCCCCATGGTTGAGGCTCAGCTGTTGCGAAAAATAAGAATGCAAAGAATCCGATGAGCTGGAGGCCAGCAAATGTATAGAAAGTCTTATTCCATAGACTCGCAGATTGTACCTGTTGATTCAAGAAAATAAACGAGTTATTACATAAATAAACATGATACATGAATGTTGTTTAATCCAACATGATCTTGTTTTTAAATAAGAATGAATATTGTACTTACTTGATCACCAAGTATTGCAGCCGTTATAATCGGAGCAATGAAACCTGAAGCACAACCAAGCGTATTGGCAAAGCCATAAGTTGTCCCAACAAGATGAGGAGCCATTTCTGGAATTATCGGGGTATCACCTCCAACAGTAAAGCCCATAAAGAACATACTCAGGATAAGAACAATTACAATGAGATCGGATCGATCACCCAAACTTGGTATAATGAAGATACATAGGCTGGTGCCCAGCAAAGCTGTGGAAGAAAAAAAGAGTCATTAAAAGCATTTAGTGACACCATTAAGGATTTAGATTTAACATCTTCAAGGTAAGATTCTTCCACCATCTAATGAATCTCATTAGTTTCTGATAAATAGATCAGTAGAAATTTATATTTCAGGTTCATCTTCACAGGTAGAGGTGAATATGAACTCAAATGGTGAATTGGACTGTCTTACAAGTGAACAAGTTAGCTTTTCGTCATTTGAATGTAAAAATAAAAATAAAAATTTAAGACTTACCGATTGATTCGAAAACTTTTCTCGTAACTGTTTTCGTTAGCCATTTTTTGTTAATTACATATCTAGATGCTGGACCAGTAATCAATTGGGTTGAACAGATAGCCACATACAATAGTGAATTGATGACTCCATTACCCTTTAGCTTGTAACCAAGGACGGTTTCCATGTAAACTGGTATCTTAGAGTTTATTGCGTAATAAATTAATCCATTGATACCACGACTTATCATAACTGACCATAAAGGTAAAGAGGTGAGCAGACTTTTCCATGGTGTTTTATTGATCTGTGATCCAACAAAAAAGGAAATTCCGTGAAGGATTTCATTAACCTAAACAAGTGCAAGCTTGAATGTTGCTTGACTATGATAGGTAAGTTAAGGAAATTAGGCGAAATGGTGAGCTTATAATTTACTTTTGTTTTGACTGTTTTAGAGCTGTTCACATGTGCAATCATCTCTTTCTCAGCTGGTGATACCCAACGATTGGTTGATGGGTCAAGTGTTATGGCAACGACCCAGAAGACGATGAAGATGATATTGACTGCGGCAACTGTGTAAAAAGCTGAAGGCCAGCCACCAACAAATCCCGAATCACACAACCAAGCTGTTAAAGGCATGATAATAACTATACCAAAATTGGAGCCAACCTGGATGAAACTCTGAGCAACAGCTATTTCTCCAGGAGATAACCAACGTTCCACCAAGATGAAACATGAAGGAAACAAGACTCCATGAGCTAAACCCAGGGCCATACGAATAGCAATAAAGTAGAAGATTCCATATTCAGCAAGAATTGGTGACAAGAATGAACAAATTGAAGCTATAATCTGGGAAGCGGTCAACAAGTGAACAGCATTGAATTTGTCTGTCAGGATACCAGAGATTATCTGGGCTGATGTGTATGTGTAAAAGTAAGCACCGAGGACGAAACCTTGATCTCTTTGATCCCAATTGAATTTTATCTATCACCAAAGGAAAAAAGAAAACAATTATCAAGTTATGGTTGCATTGTCTTTTCAATGTTAATGTCAGGAACAAAGGCAGCTTACTCAACTGACTTTTATTGTTAACCAAAGCATTTTGATTATCAAAATAAATCAACTGATAAACTTGACTTCAATTCATGAGAATTCAATATTGACAGGATTTTCTTCTGCTGCTTGTAAATACAATTCATATTGAGTCTATTTTCTTACCTCACTTTGGACCATTGTTGAATTGGAGTCAATGGATGCTGGTGACTCTTCATTGACCATGGCCAATATAGCAAAATTGAGCACATTTCTGACGGAAAAACTGATTGCAGAAACAGCAAACATGAAAAAGATGACCAAGTAACGGAACGGAATGCATGGTTGCTTCTGGAGACGCTTTGAAATGTTGGAAACATTTGACAGCTTGATGGACAAAGACTCACGGACACTTAAAGTCATCTTTACTGGTTAAGCAATTTGTCAATGTGAATAGTTGACAATGCAAAAAGTTTGCAAAAATCTGGAAACAATGAAAAGGCAACTTCTAGGATTGTGAAACCCGAACTCATCTGGCTTCAGACTTCATCCTTAAATATGTAGCCAGATTTGCAGCCCACAATGGGTGGCTCGATATAAAGATAACGAGAGAGAGCCAATTGGTATTAAAAGGGATTCCTAGAAGAATACAATTTAAAGAACAAACGAGTATCAGAGTGAAGCACTGAAGCAAAGATAAAGATTAATTAGTTTTTTTTACGTCACTTTAATCATAATTACTATGATTCAAAATTTCACATTTATACACAATAAGAATATGTCCAGATAAACAACCATAGCTTGTTGGTTCACCCTTAGCAGTTGACTTATCAGTACTGGTCGATGATCATAATTGTGACAATGGTATCGTATGATGACAATCACAAGATGTTTGGCGCTGAAAGCTATCTTCTGTTAATATTGAATCAAATTGAAAATATGAAATACAAATCAAAATGCGCGCTGGAAAGGTTAAAGTAAACAACTTAACCAAATCTTTGGGAATCTTCATTTTTATACTCAAATTACTCTGTTTACCAGATTTCATTATAATCTTGGCAGAATAATTAAAACTGGTTCAAACCGTTTCATTACCAGTATTAACATGCACGAATCAAGTTGTAATATGAAATTTGTTCTCATTACCATCATAACAAATACTCTAACAAGTGTAAGTGCGGAAATAATATCAGGGAAACCCTCTAATACTGAATGTATAAAATATTAGTCAATTAATTTTTTGTCGATGATTAACACCATTATTGCCGTTACAAGTGTATTGATACAATAAATACAATAGTGACAATAAGATTAAGCATAGGTGAATGGGTTAGAAAAGGGTTAAACTGGTTATTGCCATTGGACTATTAATTTAATACGCATATTATGCTGGTCTTGATGGTGATCAGCTATTGATGGTAACAAATTTAATCATCACTTAATTGTAGTGCACCTTTTAAATAATTTAGCTAATGAATATGGATTTGTAATGAAAAATATGAGTTGATGTTAAAACAATCCTCTTTGCAATGATTCAAGTAAGACGTATTTCCACAGACAATAAAGTAATATAGATATTCTCAGCGTGAAGTTAATTGCTATTATGTTTGAGTTGCATTAATCAACAGCTAGATAGAACTGGTTCGACTATCTAACTCGCTTTGATTATTAACAATCTAGTTAATCTGTTTAAAATAATCATAACAATAACACATTGTCTTCAAAATCAACAATAATGGCAAAAAAGACAAAATCGATTGTAAAGATTCGTCTTTATACATTGTAAGTATTTACAATGACTACAAGTTGGTAACAATTTAAAGATGAACTCGATTGCTTGAATTGATATCATTTTACTCAAATTTTCCTAATTTTTAATCAATTGCGGCATGATTTACATCAAACCTACTGAGGGATACTTCATAGGTAGAAACAATAGAAGATAACTTGATCAAAATATCATTATATTTGTTAACCTCATAAGAAATATCACGAAATTATCTTCTTGCTGATGGAAAATCAGTTAACTTTGACCTATTAAAGATTTAAGTCTAGATTATTGTTGATCCAGTGGTTGAAATTAGGTCCATCGGTTGATTGCAATTCCGTTGGCTTTGATCTGGAAGAATAGACTCTCAGGATAAAATAAAAGCTTCTCATTATTCATCTCTATAAGCGCTTGTGTTAAGAATTCTGATCGTCTTCTTGGAAAAATGACCAAACCAGAATCCAGTCAGTGCTCAGTTATAACTTAACTGTTCAATGCACCAATGGTTAACCATGAGTTGTGGAAACAAAACCAAAGCGCTTGTATGGCCTTAATAAAAAGCTGAATTTATATGAATTGTCATTAACAGTCGATCTGTTAGCCAGTTAAATTACGATTGATGTCAGTTGAAACAAATCCATGTCATGGATTCCATGAGCCATTGGCAATAAACACGCACAAAGTTCTTGCTCAACCCAGCAATAATGTCACCTGATCTCACATTGTCAGTAATTTAAACAATCAAGTCCAACAAAACAGTAGCAAACAAACAGATTTTACTGTTACAGATTAACATTACTGTTACCATCTAGTGAAATATAAATAAACTAATAGTGAATAGAGGGTATACCTTCATTTCGCCACTAAAGACGATTTCAAGATGATCTTCTTAAGGCTAGAGAGGGGTTTAACTCATTTTCAAAATGGATTTCAGAGCTTTATTTTGCTCAATTATTTTGACATATTGTTATTTCAATTTTACAATTTTAGTTTCTTAATTTAATTTAGGATGGAAATCATTAATAGCACTAGAAGATAAAAAAAAATCAATTCACTGTGAATTTTATATAATTTTAACAAAAAATTGAATTGAACTCATATTACGGTGTAAGGAGTATATACGGCAAGCTATTGGAAATTCATTAGATTTACTTGATCATCTTTGTACTAATTTAATGTGAATAAATTTCAAACAAAATTTTGCCCCTTTTCGTCAGTTAAGTGAGTTTTAAGAGATTAAAAAGATCAAGCTTAGAAGCTTTAGTGGCGAAATGGAGGTGAACCGTGAATAGAGTTTCTTTTCTTCACCTAACTTGATAAAGAAAAATTAAAACGATTATTGTCTTCATTCCGCTTTTAACTCTAACAAGTTTTAAGATGATTTATCGAGATTATCGTAATCCTAGAAAACTACTCTACTCTTGAGACAAACTATTCCCACTTTTTCATATGTTGATTGAAATTTTTCAAGCTAGTATCATTTGCTACCAGAAAGATGTAATTTTTGGGTTTCTCAGCATTTAAAATTTTGCTAAACCTAGACGCCTGTAAAGTTGAGGATCGTTTCACCCATTTTCATTTGCCCATTGAAATCAGAAATGTGAAAAGTCAATCCTTAGTCCAGTAAACTTGAAAGCTTTTAATGTGCTTTCACCCAACTTGACTTCTGCATTTACCTCAAAGTTGACTTTGATCAAAACCAAAATAAAATAACTTGACTGAAATATTTCTTCTTACCTGACTGAATGGCAATGATTAAAAACTGTGATCCCCGTCATACATGAACCCAAGTGCTGTAACCTGTGTTGCATTAAAGATAGTAACTGTTGGCAAAAATGTAAATTGTTAACAATCAAAATTGAAACTTGTTTAGATTTTAATGTTTCCCATTTCTTCCTCTATTAATGCTCTGCTTTCTTTGCTTTACAACAAATACTGGAAATGAGTCTAACCTTACCTTTTAAAGTACATTCATTTGTCCATCTCATTATCAAGAAATGAAAATTAGATTAAACATTCGCGATCTAATGATTGTTCATTCATTGAATTTGTATTTTCATCACATTACAAAAATCAAATTTCAAGGCAACTTGTTCAAGTCCATCGTTGGCCTTTCCTCATTGATCAATCATTGAGTTTACCAGTTTGAGATGAATCCTGGTTATGGATTGATGTAATTTCAAGTTTCCTTTGTTGACAAATCGTAATCTTGGTGATCATTTGAATGAAAAAAAAGTTTCAATGTTACTAACCCGTTATTTAATGTTGAACCCAAAAAGTAACTGCGCAAGACACTGATTACCATGACGATAATGATGATAAGATGATGCTGAAGATGAAGAAACTAAACTGAAACTGAAATGTTCAACTTGATTCTTAGTTGTTTGCGCAAAGTCAAGTAAGTGTTGTTGTTGATGAAAAAGCAGCTTTAATGTTGTCGTTATGCTTTTCATTGTTTATTTTGTTTTCTTCAACCTAACTACAATTGTCAATCAACTAGGAAACAGTTAATTGATCAACAAGATCAACTGGCATTTTGTACCTTCAAGTGTTTTACCGTTTGTTAACAGTGTTTTTTCATTTGTATCTCGCCTAAATCTCGCCACATATTGTACCGTCTTTTACAACATCTAACATCTGACAACAATAGTCAACAATTAATCAACAAACCATCTTTAATCAAAATTGTGCACCTTTCAACTCTGTTGTCAACCAGTTGAACCAGCAATCAGTTTCACTGGAAAATAAAAGCTAAACTTAGCAATTCCTTCATATCAACATAACAAAAACAACCTTAAGTGTTTCAATTGATTGTTTTACTTTGTCTTTGTAATTGTGGATTATTATTGAAAGGTAATTCAAGTTGAATTTTAAATCTTGACCAAATGATGCCCTTTATTGGACAAGATTGGCGTTCCCCTGGTGAACAGTGGGTCAAGACGGATAAAGGTTCATGGGAAAGGCTCAAATTGTTGGAATCAAATCGTCTCTTTGCCCGCGACCGATTCTGTGATCAGTAAGTCAATCATTTAAATATCTGGTTGAAAATTGGTTAAACAATATGTTCACAGTTTTATCAGTTTTCTGGTTTTTTATCCCAATCTTTACCAACCTTGTATGGCTAGTTGTCCATCAATTGTCTGGTCTCACTGTTTTTTTCTTGCGCTGGTTCGCAGGAAACGAACGAGGTCGTAGGTCATTTTATTGGGTTTCTAGGTTTAGGTTTAGGTTTGTAAACATTAACCTGCGCAATGTTATCAATCAAACCCAATGAAACCAGAATTGAACCAAAGTTCAAGGCTAAAATAGATTGTGCATGACAATTGTTTTTATCATGTTTCCTATCCAATCTTTTACCTTCTCTTCACTGTTACAGTTGACAGTGAATAGACTCTAAAAATAGGCCAGGTCAGGTCATAGGACGAGACCAACCATTTTTACAGGGTTTTGTGTCATTATTTTATTCTTGTCAGTCAAATGAATCTTGAGGAATGAGCAATTGGGTTTGACAAAAAAGAGACAAACTTTGTCTTTCCAATGATCATCATCTTCATCTTTTTGGTTGATCTTTCTGGTTAGGCAAAAAAAAGAGAGACTGGAATAACATTGAAATGTTGAAGAGCAACAAAAATTGAAGCCTTTAAAAATGGACCCTCTAATAAGCCCTGGAATAGGTCCAATTGAGACTTTGAATGCTTTGTTAATCAACGATTAGATTGATTCAGGTCACTGAGTTTACATTGAATTTTTATCCCAAGTACCAGTAGCCTCTCTCATTATGATTACCTTATTGTTGATCAAATATTGTAGAGAATAGACTATAAGAATCAACAGCAATTTAAATTTTCTTGCATTGTTCTTGTTCAGGTTGAAACAATCAAATTACATGGGTTACCTTTGAACCATAAAGATTAACCAGAAAATTTGAAATGAAAATTGAAGCAAAAAAAGTGACTTTTACCATTTTCCTCCTTTGGGTTAACCAATTGAAACAAATTTTCATTTTTAAGCTCAGGTTCAATTGATGATTATCTTGATCACACTTTAAACTGTTATTTCCTAATTGTTTGAAATGATTCGGGTTGAAAGGATTCAGGATTTTCAGTTCTGATAAAAGTGAAAAAAGGATGAAAAAAAACAAAGTCAAATATTGAACCAAAAGTGACCTGGAAAAACTTCAACTGATTTATAAATAAATGTATAAATGTATACATTTAATGATAACTTGGTTAATCTTATAATCATTGGTAACCATCAAGATTAACACTTGATTAACCCAGGTTAAATGTTGTCCATTGATCAATGTTTACCTTAGATCAACACAATTGGTGAAACAATTTGCTTATTACGGAAGCTTTCAACTCATTGTTACCCTTTGATTAACAATTTTAACTCTAATTAACCTGCTAATTACACTAATGGTTCACCGATTAACTAATTGATTATCACTGTCAATCTTTAATTTTCATTTCATTTCCTTATTACAATTGAGATTGACAAAAAATGAACAAAATTATTTTACATTAATTTTAAGGGAAACAATCAATGGAAACAATTTAACAAAATTTAATCAAAAATTGTTACACTTGCATGAATTAACTAACAATTTAAATTGCAATTTCAATGAAAAGGTTTTGGGTTAAATCTTGAGCTTACCCAAAATTGGATATCTTTAGGTGACTTTTGTCAACTAACAAACCAGAAATTACCATTTCCTTGACTTTCCAATTGCAATTGATTAGTTGATTTAATTAAAGAATTGATTGTTTCAAAAGAACTTGAAATGATTAAAGATCAAATTCGTTAATTGAATCAACATTAAATGATTAACTGATTGGTAAAATTAGATTTACTTTCAGTTTCTGGTTCAACTGTAGTTTTAAGGGTAAAAAATGGGTTTTTGGAAGCAAGTCTTAAAATGAATCTTTAAAAGTAGTTTTAAAGGTAAACTTTACCTTTTCATGATTGAAGACATTTCATGATTGTTTTGGTTTTATAATTATGTGAACCTTTTCAGGCCACTTTCCAACTGGATTTAAATTGAATGTAAAAAAGAAGTGACATGAAAATGGAAAACATTTTTAGGAATAAAAGTTAATTCTAATTGCGTGTTTTCACCATTATTTTTACCGTTAAACAACCAATTTTATGATCAACACAATTGACTTCCGTAATTGCCATCAAATTGCCATCTTAACCATCTTAATCAAGTTAATAATTTTAAACTATTAAACCTAATAACAACAATCATAATGATTTTCTGGGTAAAGTCAACTAATCGACTCTACTACTGTTTACTGGTTCAAATTGTACTAGTTGAACAATCAAAATTAACTAAATTACATCTTCATCTCATTGTCAATTACAATTCAATTTCCTTATAATCATGTTAATCATTATCATCTTCAAATAATGTAATGTATATATTTATAAACACACTTTGATTACAGTTAAATGTGTCTACATTTTCGGGTTTCAGGTTAAGGTTTTTTTATTTACAATCAAGGAAATTGGGAGAAATTTATTTTCAGATTTTTCTGTAAATTGTTTACCAAATTGCTTCATTTTGATTGTGATTAACTGATCGGTAAAAAAGTACAATTTAATTTACAATTTGTGTACAACTTTGATTTACCAACAAAATTAATCCAAACTGAAATAATTTACCAATTGTAATATCATTTGAAGGCGAAAGTTGATGTTTTATTTTGAGATGTTTTCATCAACCCTAACTGGTAATTATTAACAAATCTCAATTTAGAAACTGTCTTCAAGTAATCTTTTTCAATTAATCAACAAATTAACTCACTTTTAATTGAGCTTGATTAAGGTGAATCAAGTGAGGATCTGTTTAACTTTAAATCAATTTCTGTTAAACCATTTAATTGTGATTAATTTACTTTTACTTCCTATTTGTCTTGCTATATTAATAATAGCAAATCAATGTCTTCAAGGTAATCGTTAATTTGTAATGTATTTTTGCAATCAAATCACTGTAATTGAATCAATTGTTTCTCTGTTATTCAATGGCTGTTGACTGATTAATGGATTGACAATGAATGTTGATTCAAATGGATATCTAAAAATTATTGTTTCATTTTCTGGTTAATTGTCTGATTGTCAGCTGATGAGGATCGGAATTGAAAATTTCATTATCATTAACTTGATGTTTAAAATTCAATGTTAAATTGTCTTGTTTATTGTTTGTAAGTCATAATATTGTTCAACCTAAAAATAGGTTTGAAAGTGAAGCATAAAAACAAACCCAATACTGTTTATTGTTGCACCAGTTTATTCATTATAATCTGGTTTTTTTGGGTTCATCTTTTATTTCACTTTCACTTTGGTCTTACTTGTTCAACCTAATCCATCTTCATCATCATTATCGCCCATTACCATCAGTCTTACTGTTAACCCAGAACAACCAAAGTCACCGAAAAAAAGACCAAAATAAACTTCATAATGAATAGGATATTAACATTTTTGAAAGTCATTTTTCTTAATAAACATCTTCGGTTGTTGACCCAAACCAGAGGATTTCCTCGAGTTTATCGTTTAACCTGATTCTTGTAAAATCCATTCATATTGTTTAACCAATGTTCATGTAATTTAATCTAGCAAAAGGTTAATATTAACCCAATTTCATTGCGATACCCAAAAGCTGTAGAAGCAAAAACAAGACTAAAATATTGTCTCATTTTGATTTTGTGTTAATCTATTTTCTTCTTGATTTTGCTTAGAAGTGGTTTCCACAGTTCAGGAGATTCATCTGGAGATTCTGACTCTGAAAATGAAAGCAATGGAAGTTCAGATGGAAGCAGAATGGATCTTGAATCTTGCCTTTCCTCATCACCACCAAACTCAACGGACACTTCATTTTCAACAATTAACCGTGAAGATAGCTTATTAAATTGGCAACCTCCTTATTGTCATATAACCCTTAAATCAACCAAAGAAGTTGCTGGTTTCAATACAATTTCAGAAGCTTTTTATCGTTTGGATTTTTGTAATGCAATTAGAGACATACGAAGGTTTAATTATATCTGTAAATTACTTCATCTGTTAATTACTCAAAATTTAACTTCATTGAGTGGAGCAGCAACCAAAGTACTTTTCAATCTACTTGAACAAGTTGCCTGGCAAGGTGAGATGATTTACTTGATTTACATTAATATTGTTTCCCATTGAAAACCATTTAACAATACAATACAATTCATCAATAATCAATAAAGTAATCAGAAAAGGAAAACCAAAACAATCAAATCAATTTATCCATTACATGATCGGTTAACAGTTTTGCAAAGAGTCTAGCTCAGTTTTACCAACAAATTGATTTACAAGCAAAATTTAAACATCAAATGATCATTATCTTGGGTTATATCATTGATCAATCCCTATTATAATTGATTGTAAATCTTGAACGGAATATTGATGTTTGATTCGTACGATTGAGCTATCATTACATTTCAATTGAATGATTGTCTTGAAACAATTTCCACTCTTGTAAAGACTTTTTGTTTATCCTTTTCTGATTTTTTTAACCTTCATTCCTATTCAATTTTCATCATTATTCCAACTACACACTTGAATTTATAGTCTGGTGGTTAAGATTAACTGTATTGTCTGTTGGCACACTATAAGGCTTTCATTAGTTAATCCGGTTTAAGCTTTGAAAGTGACAAAATCTTCCACATAATTTGCATGATAAAATTTAAATTCATTATCAGGCAAACCTTGACATTTTCATTTTTCACTCAACCTAAAAGCCAAAAGAAAACATTATTTCAGCTAAATCAGCTTATCTGGATTGATAAATCTGTAAAGTCTGCCGAGTATTGAGTTAAACTTGGTTACAATATCTAGTTACGGTATCTGGATCATTATCAGTTGATGATCAGATATTGACCGTTGAGTTAACCTTTTTGAATATTCATTATTTTTGTTTCTTTTTTTCAACTTTCATTTTCTTGTTTTTTTTACTTTTAGTGGCGTCTAATCAGCAAAATATTCATGTGCTTCATACTCTACTTCATGATCTGAAAAAGATTATGAGAAAGTATTACTGTTGGGGTCGACCTTTGGGAAGTACACTTTTATGGGAGCAACACTTGCAGACGATCGAGAAGATATGTGAAATGGCAAACACTATTGAAATTAAAGAGGTAAGATTTATTGTTACAATATTTAATTAATCTAGCCAAATAGCTGGCTGACTATTAAACGACTTTCATTGAATTCCTAGAATAGACTAGCAATATCCATGAGTTTGGACCGCTTGAAATCTTGACTTGTCTTGTGATTTGTCATTGCCCTGTTCAAAATTTATGTTTTTCACCATCATATGGTCTCATCAAAATTTTATCTTTTGAACTTTTTTTGGGATTAATCCAGATCTGTAGAGTGTAAAAACATGATTTACTAAAGCTAGTTCAATGTTGTAAGACACCTCTTCCATTAATTAAGTCTGCCTCTCATGATTCTGTCTGATTTTTTGCGTATAATCAAACCTTGCAAATTCAATGTTATGAAATGTAAATAACTTGTTTTTATATTAACTAATCCGTGTTTTTGTTTTGTTTCTTATTCACCTATTTTTAATCTAGCCTGTTAATGATGGAAGCAAACGACTAACTGATCTTCCTGAAGAATTAATTCGTGAGATTTTACTTCGTCTTAGTGATTATAAAGATTTGGTTAATTCTGGTGAAGCATATGATATGATGAATTGTCTTCTCGATGAGCAACACATTTGGAGGCAACTTTGCAAATATCATTTCCCTCGTCAGCAAGTTCGTCAATTATCATTAACCAAAGTAAACTCAGATGGCAAAGTTAACTGGGAACAGATTTTCCACATTCTTAGAAAGTAAGTAGCCATTGTTGATCAACGTCACAATTTAATAAATTTATCTAATTTCTTATTCTCTATTTTTACAGAAAATTTGGCCTGAAAGAGGAATATGCCGATTGTTTATTCTTATGTCGCCATTGTCGTTCACTTTTCTGGAAGGTAAATATCATGAGCTGCTTCAACTAAATTTTGGTCTTATTTAAGATTCCACCGTTTACTGTTAGATGTAAATTTGTGTTCCGTTTGACAGTCAAATCGTTCAATGAACAAACTTCTGAATCCCACATTACCAGTTAATCCGAATTGTATTTGAATAATTACATTTAACCTTGGTCGATGTTATCAAGTGACTTTCAATCTGCAGTATTTTCCGTTGACACCTTTGTCTTGAAGACCTACGAATTTCTTTTTATCATGCATTACTTATTCAGAATACGACATTTGGAGCAACCTATTCATATTGTAATCATATCATAACTTATTGCTATTATTATCTGATGGTTACATGCACAAAAAAAGTTTGTCAAACCAAGATAGTAGCTGGTTGGCAATGATCGTAATCACAAGATTTACTGTCAGTTGATTGTCACTTTTTATCCTCAACACTAACAGTATTTAGCACAATTATGATAATCCATTTCATTTGAAAAAATTTTACTTTCCCTTAAACTTTCAAACCAAGAAGGTATCATGTGATGTTCAGGGATTCATGCAACACTTTACTTTTCATCATTCAACTTGCCCAGTTACAATCTGTTCCAAATTTTATTCTGATATCAGTTTTTAATTAATCTTTTTCATTTCTATTTTCGCAGTCATTTGGCCATCCATGTGTTATTACCCAAGGATCTGTAAACGAAAGGGATAAGGAAAACTCGGATGAATCGAGCGATAATCTTAGTGAAAAATATTTCATGGTTCCTCAACATATTCCTGTTCCTCCTCAATCGTTTCTAAAATTTTTCTCTCTCTAGACTCAACTCAATTGATAAGTTTATGAAAAAACTGTAACAACACCAACAAACGAAGCAAAGTGAAATTGGAAGAAAAACTAGCAAACAATTAGATCAACAATTTACTCTCAATTATATATCAAAATGTAAATTATCTTATAATATATTGTTCAACTTCTCCTGTTTCTTGTGACCTCATTTACTACTATTGTCATAAGTAGTATACTAATTAATAATGCTCTTATTGATGATATATAATATTATTTTTCTTCTCCCCAAACAAAGAAACAACTTCTTTTTACAATTTTGTTTTACATTATGTTGATATTCAAATTACTCGTATATTTTACCTTCTCAATTGTTCATCAACTTTGTCTCGACTAAAATAATTATAATTTACCTGTAAACTACTTTCAAATTAAGTCTCGCTTGTCACAACAAAAACAAATATCTGTTTTTTACTTGTTACCAAAAAATTAAACTGAAAACTATATTTCATAACTAAGAGCAAATTTTGCTTCTCAGTCGATTCATTTGAATGATTTAACACTGTAACCAAAAGTTCAGTTTCACTTTCATGTTCAAAATATCTTCAAACTTTCTTCAAACAGAGCATTTGTATGTTTTTGTCGTGTAAATGGTGAAGAGTAGTTTAAAGGGAACGTTTATGTCCATGTGTATTGGTAGCTGTGACAGCCGTTTCAATGCGTTGTATGAAATCGTAGGTTGAGTTTATGTAAAAGTTATGAAGTTGAAAAATTATGGTTTGTTATGAAATAAATCAGGTCTGAAAACGGAAAATTGAACGGGAACAATCTGCTTGTTTTATTTAAATCATCTGCATATTCGTTTCTTTTTTTCAATAGAAAGCTAATCTATTTTTATTTGAAAAATTCGCAAAAGTTGATTCAAAATCAGACACTCAATTAGATCTAGGACTTAATTAAACCTTACCTCGATGCACAATAACATAACAATTAGCAGTCTATCGCAAAACCAGCCATCAGTGTCAATGAATGCATTCAAAAACCTTTTGGTAGTCACATGTCGCCATCTATTATTTTAAATATTCATTGGATGGACTCTTTTGCAAGTTTCTGTCTTAAATTTTCTGATTGACTTTATTGAATGCTAACTTAATCATGATGTCCATTCGCGATTCGTCCACTCGATTCTCATTCTCGAATTGGTAACTCCTCTGGTAAAAAACAACAAATAAATAGTAAATACAAAATGCTCGTAAATCTGCACCAGTTGAATCACATGGATCTAAAAACTAACAATGAAGCTTGAGTTATCGTTTCGATGATAAATGTTGCAAACAAAATAACACAAGATAATATTTCAATGGCTCAAGCTGAATTGATAAATGCTTTTGTTTACACGAAGTCGAAAAAAGATGATTAAACTCAATAAATTATATCAATTCAAACTGGCAAATTGAAGTGATCATTACAAGTGTTTGCCCATCTTTTTTCACCATCTTTAGCCTTTCACAGAATGAGTTGATAAGCAGAAATGAGTTTTCATTTTGTTAATAATTTTCAATAAGATCAGTGTTTTCGCATATGATTAATGGTCAAATAAAAAAGTGCAATTTAATCAACTATCAAATCGATATTATACTTTATTTAATTCATTTACAAAAATCATTTTATTGCGTCGTTTAGGAAAAAAAGAGTTGCAGGAAAGAGAGGATTGAAGAGTAGAAGATAAAAGGTAAAAGTTGATGAATACAATCAAAATTAATGCAATCAAAATGGATTAAAGTGATTGTTGATAAAGCGCGATGAATCTATCACAGAATCTGTTGATTTCCTAAAACTACGTTTATTCAATGGTGATGATGAGAGTGATGATGATGATGATATTGACGTTAATGGAGATGATAATGATGGTGAGGATAATTTGGTTGATCTTGTTGAAGAGGATGAAGATGAAAATGAAGGTACAAATGAAGAAGTTGAACAGCGATGATGATTTGAACAATGATGTCGATTAGGACAGTCAATCACATTAACTCCCGATAGCACTTCATCAAGGAACATTAACAACCTTCCATTAATAGTAATCTTTTTAATGCATCCTGAAAAAGAATCGCTGATTGCTGAATTGGATGAAACATCTTTAACATCAGAGACGCCACCAAGAAACAAGTTGAGTGATAATGATAATTGCGTGTAACCACCCAGACTTGATCCACTTACAATCGGTTGATTGTCAATTTGAAGCCAACCTTGTTGTCCAGTGCGTGTTACTAGTAAACTGTGCCATTGATTCAGTTCAACTGGTTCGCGGCTCCTGAAAAAAAGGAAACAGAAATTTGAGATGAAAAATGATATAAAAGTGAAAAGCAATTCAACTCGAGAGACACCATTAGTGTGATTATACAAATCCATTATAAACACATGTTTTGGTATTTTATTTTGTAAGTTGAATGTGAAAAAATATTGTCATCGACTCACTTGATAATGGCAGGACCACTGCCCAAGTCGAAGCGAAATTCAATGAAACCATTGACCAGATTGATTGAGATGAAATCACCTCGAGCATCCAATCGATTACCATTGTATAAAAGGACACCATTAGGCATTCGAGGTTTAAATATCATTTGTATTTCAAAGAAAGAAAGACAAGTTTCTTTCAAACCGGTAAATTGAAGATATGAGGAACCATTGAATGAAGGAATCGTAAAATCGGATCCTAAAAGTGAAACAAATGAAACCAAAAATGAATCAGAAAAGCATTTACAAAGGACAACATTTTTACCCAAAATTGCCAGATTTATAGCGAAACCTTTCAAACCTTCAGCCAAAAAATGAAATCGGTTGAGACTGAAAATTGTTATTCATTTGGTTGTTCGGAAAATCCAATAACAATTGCTAATAATTGAAACCAATTGAGCTTCTAGATTCTCATTTTTCGTAGATTTTGATTTGAGTTTTGATTTTGATGAAAGCACAAACTAAATGGCTCAAGTTCAAGTTTTGACTAAACTGAGATCATGATAAATGGTCTCGATACTTACTTCGCTCGCAATGGTTACCAGCAAAGCCCAAGGGACACATGCATATCCATCTTTCGGGTGATGTTGCTACACATTGGCCTCCGTTTAAGCACGAAGTGTTGCTACAAACATCTGAATTGCATTCATCTGGAATTGATTGAGAAAATAGAATGTTATTGATCTCATGAATTGTTTGGGTTTAATATATGTAAGTACCTGTATCAACACCATCAATAGCATCTCCTCTACTGTCTGACCTGAAATCATATGAATGACCATTTATTTCCAATTTACGGACACATCCAACAAAACCAAGTCGACTGTTGGCTCGTGCAGAGATTAAACTTATATTTGGTGATCCACCGAGAAATAGTTCTAATTTAAATGTGATTCGTGAAAAAAGTCCCTGAGATTGACCAGGAATTTGCCTCTCTTGATTCAATTGTAACCAAGCAGACCAACCGTCTCGATAAATGGTCAATCTATTCCATGAGTTTAGTATTACCGGAGTTTCACTGGCAATAACACCTTCGCCCATTCCACAGTCAAATCTAAATGATTGTAGCAATTGATTGAATTAAAGAAAAGACTGATTAGTTCGATTGTCAAAATTTCACAAAACTAAATGCTCATCAATACTTTGCACCGAACAGAAAAATATGAAACTTGAAATTTCCAAATCGATTTCGCATTCAAATCGAATCATTTTTTTCGAAATAAGTTAATCTTTCAACTTAATTTCGTTTGCATTACAAGATATTAATTTACAATTATTATTTAGATTCGAATGATTAAAAATGATTGTTCAACCCTGATGAGTGTGATGCTTGAGGAAATCATGAAAGTTTCAATATTTTCTTCCAATTCGTTGAGAAGCTTTGAGTCTAAAGTTTGGCGACTAATTGAACATTGAACTTACCTGAACTCTACAAATCCTTGATTTAATACAATTGCTATATAATCACCTTCCAAGTTTTGATTCTCACCGCTGTAAAGTAAAACACCTTCATGATACTCTGGTCGGAATTCAATGGTTACTTTCATTGATTTGTGGGCATCTCGAAGGGTTGGTAAAGCAAGATATGATCGACCTCTAAATCGAGGAAAACGCACTTCCATTGCTGTAGAAGAACAAAGTAAATAGATTTAATCAGATTTACCACAAGAAAAGCAAAGCGCTTCAAACTTACGTTTTTCACAAAAAAATCCACCTCGACCCAATGGACATCTACAACGAACTCTATGGTCATGATAATCTTCATTTTCAACGCAACTACCGCCAGCTTCACATTCAATTGATTCACACGAATAATAAATTGCATCATGATATTGAGGTTTCCCATTGAAACGCGTTAAATCATTAACCTCTTGAAGCACCCGATTGCGTCCAGATAAATCTTTACTGGACAATGATGAAGGTAACGATGATGACGATGAATTTGGTTTCATCTTCCTTTGATGACGCTTTTCCTGGGCAATAGAATTTTCTGTTGATATGAAAGATGAACAAAAAAGCGTTAAAAAAGTATCAACCATAAAGTCAAGGCATAAAAGTACGCAAAAAATGTTTTGGTTTTCACAAAATGGACAATCAATCTCGACTTGCCTTCACTCTTCAAATGAATTGCAATATTTCATCAAATAGCTAACTTAATTGTTGATTTATTAGCTTTAAAGCCATGACCAGACAAGTTGACCTGAAGTTTACTCGAAATCATTAAATCTCTTTTTTCACTTCAATGTTGAATGAATATTGATGGTTGGAATCAACATTCACATGTTCAACACAAAACCTTGCGAGTTTCAATTGTTGATCAGAAAAGTCTTTTAATGAAATTGAACAACAATTGATAATGATCATTTGTGAGGCTTATTCACAATCTCATTATGCTTTTGATTAGCATTTGAATTAAAAGTTGCACAAATAACATTGAATAATACATTTGATTGTAGATTTGATTAATTCCATGTTGTTAGTCGGATCAATTGTCATTCAATTCAATTTCAACTTGACAATACAAGGCAAATAGATTCACTTCAAAATGTAATCCAACTGCATCAATATGAAAATTGAATGAAAATCTTGCAATGTTTAAAGATTACAGTTGAAGCAAATGGATCGATCAAGATTTCATTTTTTCATGTTTCCTTCATCAGTCTATTCAGTTTTACCAAATTTTGACGGTTAACCAATAGTTACAGTAAAGGTTGTCATTGTTATTGATGACGGTCTTGATCAAGATTGAGTGTAAATAAGTCGATAATTGTTGATAATAACAAGTGTATTTCATTCTGGTTAGATTAACCAAAGTAAATGTAAACTTTGTTATTGATATTGGCTCAATGTTAGTTTTACCTTTTACGTGTTAAGCTGAATGTGAAATTGGGAAAAAGTGTTCAGATTGTCAATCAGACTGTCAACAATCAAGTCAAAGTTTACTTGATTCGCTTCAAGAGATTCAACTAATTACATTTCAAAGAAAACTTCTTAAAACCTTTTTTTTCTCAACAGTAATTACGATGAAGCAAAATGAGTGAAGATGGATGAAAGTGGAAGCCAACTTTAAGTAAAACCAATTGATAGTTAAGTCTATTGATTAAATGGTTAACGGATTAATCTTGTTCATCAGCAGGATAATTTTGCATCTATTTATGCATCAGAATCAGGATAAAGTTGACAAAAAGCACAGAAAGAGATGAACATGCAAAGTGAGGGAAGAAAAAGTTGAACATTTCAATCAAAATTGATAATTGAATAAACATTGAAAATTAAACAAAAGTAAAGGTGAAAGGAAAATGAAATAATTGAAAGGCAATATTTGCTAATTATGATTTCCCATTCAATCATGTAAATGCAATTTTCAGGGTAACATTTTGATTCTCATGAAATAGCAAAATTGGGAAAAATTGAAAGATAAAGTAAACACTAAGAAGACAGTAAACATTTAAAGTTTGTCGATTATCGATTGGTTAGTTTGAAACTTCACTCTCAGCTATTATTCAATTTGTTGTCAATTTGTCTTGGAATCGAGTCAGACTAATCAATCATCAATTGGTAAATTGGCTCAATTAATCTTACCACTTTTAGAAAATAGAAAGTTTGGAAAAACTTGAAATCTTTCACCAAATAGTCTTGGATTTTGTAAGATAACTCAAGTTTGTTTTATTGAAAACTGAAAACGACATTTTTAATGATTAAAACATTTGATTGATTGACTTAAAAAGACAAATTTTGATAATTTTTGTTGAGGCAAGTTCAAGATTGGTTTTCAATTTCATTTTAAATGTAGATTTTTAGAGATTAGAAGTTCTTTTTTGTAACAGAAACATTCTCTGATGAAAACTGAATCAAAGTTTGAATTTCGTTTAGCTAGATTGGTCAGAATGAAGTTTCTAATTTTGTAATGACTAGTTAGTTATGGGTGAAGTTGGAAAAAAACTAAAAGAAAAAAGCAAATCAAAATAGTCGAAAATTCATTTTCAAAATTCAGTAATCCGAAGGAGAACCGCTTTCATCAGATCATTAGCAAAACTCTTAAAATATGAGTTCTTTAACTTTCGCTGAAATTTTCGTTAGTTATCATCTGACCTCAAAATCCTCACAGAATCTGATGTTGAACTGAAAAATCTTTTACAAGCAAACGGCTCAAAATCAAGCTCACTGTGTCTGTATATTACATGTGATAACCTTCAATACGAATGAAAATCTTGACATTTTCCAGTTTTTTAGTTTTATCAAAAAGACGAATTCTGAAAAAATTGATAAACCTAAAAAAGCTAAACATCTTTTGATCATTTTTATAGACTTTTAGCACATTTTCTGTGACCATCTTTTATCAACTAGTCCTTATCGACCCTAGACCTTGCTTTCTTCGTCCCTTGACCTAAAAAAGTCAGATTCAAGTATATTAACCTAAATGGCAGGTCATTTGGGTTTGCAAATTCTTGTCACTTGCGATAACTTGCTTATCCTTGTCAACAATTTCATTCAGTTTCAACTCCAAAACTCTTGCCTTAACAGTGAATATTATCATTGAATAAGCAGTGGTAATATGATCATTGAATATGATTAACTCAACTTGCGGTCCCATGTGACTTTGCATATGTAAGCATGAAACGAATAATATTCAGTGTTTGTTGCTGTCGATGTGTGTTTACATATAAAAATAAAAGGCTAAGAAAAGCTCTTTTTTTGTATAATAAACCCAAAAAGAGTTTACTTTTTTACTATTTATTTCATTCTTATACTTCTATTTTTTTTTATCACTCCTCAGTCAACCTAAATGCCTGAATATAAATATCATTTTTGTTAGCTTTAAACCCAGTCAGAAATATACATGAAAAAAGCCTCAGAATAAACAAGCTAATGTTTATCCTCAGTTATTGATATAACAATGTTGTTATTGAGTGAACCCATTTTTTTGCTTTCCATTTGATAATTGCATTGTAAATTGAGTATTCAAGTAACGTTCAACAGCAAGTCAATCAATAATTTACATCTAAATATATTCACGGCTCAAACAACTTGCATTTAATATTCAATCGCGATTGTCCTTTAATTAAACCTTTACCTAAGATGGTTTACCTGTTCAACATTCAACAATCATAACTGTACAGGAAAGAGGTAAAGACATTCAAAGTATAATTAATGTTGATAATGATCAACACTCTTCGCCATTCTTGGTAAGTGATAAATGTTCAGTTTTCATGATGAAAATGAGACAATGGGAAAAACCATGGAAACTAATCTTATTGTGATGAACAAAAAGCACCAGGCTTTTGTGCAAACAGATGAAAGGTGATGGAAAGAAATCATTTTTTCTCTGAAACATTATTCTTTACTTTCCATTCATGATTTTCAATGAAACCTTTATGTTTTAACCAGTTTCGTGTAACCATGTTTTTCAACTGATCTAATGATTTTGATGAAAAATGTAATCAAATTGTCTTAATAAAGCCAATAGGCTTAGTAATGAACAATTAAATTGAATTCAATTTTCGTCGAGTAATTCAATTTATACATTTACATTTTTATGGTTAGCTTTACTCAGTCTATCCATGTAAGTAACCTGTTTACTAATAAGCTTTTAATCAACTTTTAATCAGCTTAAAAGCCTAATTGTTCCCTGATCAGTTCAAAGCCAAGTGATAATGGAACCACCAAATCGAATGAATTGACCTAAAATCTAATCTAATCATGAGTTTTACCGCTTAAAACAATTATGACTTTTCGTCATCGGTTGCAGCCTGGAATTAGCTTCAATTGATTTTTTAAAGAAATTAAATTTACAGAAAAATCTTGATTTAAAAAGATCTTTGGTGACAATCAGCAATTTCGTTCTCGCACAGATCAACAAATGTTGAAATGAGCAAGTTCAATGTGAACCAGTTTTTGTCAAACCTTGTAAAAGTAAACCAGATTTTTTTTCTGGTTAAGAATTCGAAAGAAATACATTTTGCATCTTAAAGGATTTGATTGATGAAACTTTTTTCTCGATAATTTTATATCGAAGCAAAGTCTTAATATGAACCAGTTTTTGTCAAACATTGTAAAATGGTAAGAAGTGAACCAGAAAAAATCTGGTCTAAAATGAGAAATGCATGAATCTTGCATTGGATTACAACTGTATATTTGGTAAACGATTTGATTGATGAAACATTTTTCTCGACAATTACATATTCAAATGTTGATTGTTACAAAAGCTGTTAACCAATTGATAAAACAATCATGATTAAATGGTGTTAAACGGTGTGAAGCATAAATTAACAGTTGATTAATTAGTGTAATGAAAATGGAGTTGTAAGATTGTAAGTCTGAGCGGAATGAAAGAAAATGGTTTTTGATTAAAATCAAGTTGGACAAGAAAAAATGTCAACTCAACTGATTTGAATTGCAAATGATTAATAAATTGGTTAATCTGACAAATGAAACATATTTTACGTTCAACATTGGTTAAACATTTAAACAAAATTATGGTAATAACTAGATGTAAAAAAGCTCACCAATCATTAAAACAAATCAATCATCTTGTCATGTAATGAGAATGGAAATTACAATGGATATTAAATGAAGAGCGCACATGAAGACAAACCTCAATTTTGAGTATTAATGATTCATTGATATCTAAATATTGAAATGCAGCAAAAATAACGCAATTAGTTCAATTGTTTTCCTCATCATCATTATGTACATTATCAAGATGATTATGGTAATGAAAATGATTTAATATGAAACATCCAAAATTGGGTGTGAGTTGATGAAACAGTCACGCTAGATGTAACAGCTTAGTTCATTGTAACCTTAGGAACCCAAAATTTTGATCCTTTTCTTGCTATTCAAGTTATAACACATTTTAACAATTGCAATTCACTGTAATAATAATAGGTTTTATCATGATTATGGTAATAATAATGTTTCATTATTGTAATAATAGTTTAAATAACAGGGAAGAAGAGATAAAAAATATTGATCAAAAGTCTTTTTTTG